AAGTACCACGGTTGCTGAACCAAAGTATGGTCTGACTCCACTGGTCTAACACCTGGTGCCGTTTTCATTTTGCTACTGCTGACACATTTATCTAGATGGTATAGGAGTTGCAAAGAATGCTTTTTTTCATTTGTTCATGTATTCATTCAATTGACTTTTTCTTGAGCATCTACTAATGACCATATTCTGGATTGGGTGTTTGGATATAAGAGACTGATTTAGAATCTTTCTCTCTTCAACATGCACAAACAAAAATGTGAGACCGTGTGGTAATTTTAGTGATCTAGATGTGAAAACAGGCATTGTGCCAGGCATTGTGCTTTGGTAAAGCAGAAAGACAGCTTTACAAAACCTTTCTAGAGCAGGAAATCCTTCACAGCAAGGGAGGTGCTTACTGTTTAAATAGGGTCTCAAGTCCACTAGAAAAATAACACCCATACTAGGGTTAGGTTACATTTAGTTATAAGCCCACCTTTGTGAAAACCAACCTCAAAGTTCCATGTGTTACTTTGAGCACCCCCTCATTAGCCTGCAGTTTCATGAATGCATTGTTTTCAATGTTTTTCTGTTTCATTTAGGGGCCTTATATCCTCAGAATAACTGAAAAATAGATGTGATGATGTTACAGACTCACTTTTGGGACATAATTACTTCATGAACGCATACATCCGTATTTCCAAAGTAGGAACAATAACATATATACACACAAATGATCTCTTGATGGTAGGACAGTCTACAGAGTCCTTTTTCATCTACCATTTTAGTTACTGCTTATAGAACAAGGTGATGCTTGCAGGTTTCCTGAGTGTCTGAAGCACTCTTACTGACAGACGTTAGCACAAGAATTGGCACTAAATAATTGTGTATGGAGGATTAGCAAAGAATTTTTTGTCTTTATTCCAAAGTAATCATGCTTCATTTTATGATTTTATTTAGATTACAAGACCAGGTCTGTCCAAAAGCAGGTGTTGAGGAAAGAGTTTTTTCCACTCTGTGGGTCACCTGTGTCACTTGCCAAATGAGAATATTGCTGCTACTACTAACAATAGCACCAATTTTACCCTCTTGGATTGAGATGAAGAGTAAAATTAATCTGTGTGCGAGCATAATGTGTACAACTGGTCACACTTGTGAATACCTAATGCACTTTTTTTTTAAATATTCCAATTTATATTCACTTTTTTAAAAAAGATTTTATTTATTTATTTTTAGGGAGGGAAGGGAGGGAGGGAGGGAGAGAGAGAGACAGAGAGAGAGAGAGACGTCAATGTGCGGTTGCTGGGGGTTATGGCCTACAACCCAGGAATGTACCTGGGATGTATGTGGCTGGGAATCCCTAATGCACTTTTGAGTGACCAGATTGTCAGCTACTTAAGCCAAGGTGAATCAGCTTAATTAATTATTTTTATCTGTTTCTCCAAACTTTCTGACTTAGCTTCCTGTTTCCTCTCTTCTGTTTGTCCCAGAGTGATTGCCGACAAGTGCTATACGTTCAACAAGCACTTGTTGATTTATTTTTTTAAAGTACTACTGATATTTTTGCTTAGGATTCCTGAAACATCTTCTTTAATTCCTAGATTATAAGTTCTTTTGATAGAACTCTTATAAATACCACATGAAGAAGTTGAGCATTACTTTTAGGCCAAAGCAATTTACTTTTCAAAAATCTGATTAATTTCAACACAATCAGCCAGGATGTCAGGAGATCTCAGTGTCTCTGATAGATGCTGACAGGTGAGGAAATTAAAATCAGGGAGGGAAGCAATTAAATACTGGCAAACATTACTTTAATGAGACAACCAAATCATTCACAAGCCATGGAATATGTTGTATTCATGATAAGTGTCTTAGGGTGGCAGGTGAAAGAGTGCATTTAAAAATGTTCTTCATAAAGGATTTGATGATGGCAATGAGGACCTTTCCATGTCTGTCATCTAATGCCTTTGGCATAATCTAACACTTCAATTGCTTTTTGGACAGATGTCCTAATAATCATGCTTTAGATTATGACATTGTTTAATTTTTAAAAACCTTAGTATAAGTAATCCTTTCCCTACCACCTTTACCACCACATAAAACTTATCAAAATGAACAAAGTATAGACAAAATAATTTCTGGCTTTGTAAGAGTGAGTTAGAGATAATCATGGTCACAACCTGTGAAAAAAAGAAACAGAAAAATGCATATTTCATGCAAGTTTTGTTTCAGAAGATTTGGGAATTAGAGCGCTAAGAACAGAACCCAGGTTCTCAATCCACATACAGGTGCTCTTTTCAAGATAACACCTTCTATTCAGAAAGAGCATTGGGGACCACAGGGCTGAAGAGCTACCCATTTATGGGATTAATGGGAGTTTTAACAAGTTCTATCACATTTCTTAATAAAATATAGCACTCATATTAAGTATTAAGAGGCATGTTTACATTGGTCTCAGCAAATCTAATGCCAGATGGTTGGACTTTTTGTTCATAATGTTAGAATCATCATCCTAGTGGATTATTGCTTAAAAATTAACCTAGGGTACAGTGATCAATTCAGAAGATACCATGGTTTGTCTAAAACTTGTTGAAACAGGTGTTTCTGTGCTTTTCATTTCTCATGTCCTTCTGTTCTTTTCTTCTTTTTTCCTTTATTCTCCCTCATTTTTTCCACTCTCATTTTTTCCTGATTTAATTTTTTTCCTCCTGTTTTCCCCCAAATGTAGTAGAAATTGTCTGTTATTCTATATTAGTACCAACTAAGTTTGGTAAGTCTTGCTTTTGCTTAGATTCTAATTAATAAGTTGAAGTTTTGTAAGTTAGAGGTTGATTGTAGAGGTCTTTTTGTTTTTATTTTTTTAAGTTTTGGTTGAAGCTGCTTCTGGAGATGAGAACATTTTTCCTGGGAGAGGATGGGTGGTTTGAGAAAGGGTGCAAACATGCCGGGTTCTGGTCCAGCAGCTGTAAAATACACAGAGGTGGCCTAGAATAACTGGCTTCATTACCAAGACGCTAGAGTAGGATTTGTCCATTGTCCCAGGTGTCTTTCTAGGTCTAGAAAAGACTAGAAAGGTCTTCTCCATTCTCTTAGGAAATACTCTGGAGTTCCTGAGAACACATGACATTAAAATCAAGTGACAGGGGCTGGTGAGCTTAGCTGGAAGGCTTCAGGTTTTCTACTGCATAAAATGAGAATTACTAGTGAAGGCCCCTTCACAAAAATTGAATGGTGTCAACTTCTGTTGTTTCTGTGGCTAATGTTTTGAGGGCTTGCACAAGGATGTTGCATCTTTGAAACTTCACTGGGGAGAACTGAGAAAGTGTTTATGGCAAGCCTGCATCAAAAACTGCTTCTGCATCAGCCAGCTTAGTAATGTGTTACCTTCTGGTTAGACCACAGATATGAAGTCTTCTCTTTCTCCTTTCACTTGCCAATGAACAGTACTGAGTATTAATGTTTTGGTGCCTTGACAATTGAATTTTGTATGGTATATACTCATTTTTCCTTTCCCTCTAAATAGAGCATTCTCAAATTAGGGGCTGCATTATGAGTAGGAGGGTCCTCTCTGGTTTTGGTGTCAAGGTACAAGGTTAAATTTTTGTGTGTTTGAGATTAACTGCATGCTCTTTGAAGTTTGGTTTCCTTATTGGCTAAATTGGGGCAAAAAGGTCTCATTGGGGTTATGATGGGGATGATTTGACATAAAATGGTCGTGTAATAATTTCCCACAGTATAAAGTATGAGGCCAAAAGATGATTAATGTTTTAATTTTGGTGGCATGTGACGAGAACTACTTATAGGGCATCGTGTCAACCATGTTCTCTTCTTAATCTGATTTGAGTCTTCTATGAAAATGAGATATATTGCAAAAACTTCCCAATGTCTTATACTTCTCAGTAAATCTATCTGTTGTTTAAAACAAATGCTTTTGTCGCAGTCCTGTTGGAAGCACCATCTTCCTGAACCTGAGAAACGATACAAGCACACACTTTTAAAGGACTTCAGATACATCTGATCTTCTCCTTAAAGCCGCAAGCAGCTCTTATTTTGGTGGGTTGAGAAGTCACTTGATTTTTCATTTTGAGGCTTTGCCTTTTGGAACAAAAGTTCTTTGTGATGTATTAGGTGAGGCCATCTGAGACTGACATAGGCAAATATTGCTTTAAATGCGTGCTTTAAAACTAGAGGCACAGACTACCCAGTCCAGAGATATTCTCTAGCACTGTGTGCTTATGATATCATTTTTTGATCATATAAACATAGGCTCATAGGAAGAAATATAATTGGGTGTACCACCACTGTTTACATCTATTGGTATGAAATAATGGAGGAAAATCTTACAAATAATGTTTATGTGAACTTTGGCTATGAAGTAGATATTATAATCTTCATTTACATATAAGGAAATTGACACTCAGATAGTTTAAGTATCTTGCCTAAGGTTATCTGTAAGAGGAAGACAAGTCGAACCAGCGCTAAATCCTGTGTGTGCCTATTTCTTCATGTCAGTCAATAGCTAGTTTTACTTTATTATTCCTTCTTCCACCAAACCAAGTGGATCAAATCAATGATCTGTTTGTGTTTTCCCAACCTAGTGTCTTAGGAGAAACTGAGGTAAAAAGGAAAGAGTACTAGCCCAGAGGGTCCCAACTCACTGCCGTGTGCTACACTATGTGGTTTTGGCAAGTTACCTGCCTTTTTTGAGCTTCAGCTTCCACATCTGTAAGATGAGGACAGTGATACCCATTTCACATGGTATTTGTGAAGGTCATTATGAGACAGATGTTTGTTCCCTTCTCATCGTCTCTGTTCCTCTGTAAGTTTCTATTTCCTCACCTATGAAGTCAGTAAAATAATCTTTTCCTGCTTCTTCATCAGGTTGGTGTGGGGTGATATGAGGTAATGAATGTGAAAATGTTTTGCAAAATAAGAAACCACTATGTAGTTATGTGTTTATGATGATTTATAAATAAACACAGCTTAGTATCTAAGAGTAACTTTTACCTAATTTTCGTTTTCAGACACTACTGTTGCAGTTTGCTGAACCTTGTGTCCCCTGACCACTCCCAGAGCTATTATCTGAGGTAAGAGAGGACTGTCTTCATACTTAGGAAATGCTAATAGGAATCTTGGCCAATAGTGTTTAAGGTTGATTTCACTCCCACCAGAAGAAACACAAAGGTCTTTCATGAGCACCAAAACTGAAAAATGGCCAAGAAAATGAATTCCCTTCATTTTATGTTTTCTTGATTTAATTGTCTCTTTCAATTTTTAGCCCTTAAGGTTAAATACCAGAAGTTCAAAAACATAAGCTATGCAGCAGATTCAGATTTAATAGGTATTTGTCTATAACATGCCATGTACTAGAATGCTCTTATGTATTGTCTGCTTGTATGCACTGATGGCATGTGGCAGGACGACTTTCTCTCTAGTTTCCTGACGCCTTTTCGAGTGTGTTTTCACTCCATTGTGCTGCCAGTATTTCCTGGCTCTGACTGAGCTGGACTTTCCTAGTTAGATCCATCACCATCTCTTAGCTGCCCCCCAAAAATCTAAAACAAACAAACAAACAAACCCCAAAAACAAAAAAAAACCCCAAAACAAAAACGTAATCCAAGGCTTCAACAACAACAACAAAGTCCTAAGAATAAGCAAATGAGTTCGAGACTTTTGAAACCCAGGGCCCTTACATACTATCCAGGGGGACCTGTGTGAGGAAGATTGGCCTTTCACAGAGGAATGCCCTCTTCTCGAGTTTGTCAAGAAAATGGAGGCCAAAAAAAAAAAATGGAAAAAAGCATGATAGCTATAAAATTTACAAAATGTGAGTTTTCTCCTACCGCTAACCAGTTGGGATCTTTATTTCCAAGTTTGCTCTGCCATATTCTTTATCGTTTAGAAGTCTTTGGTACAGGATTTGTAGAAAAGCATCTTTGTGGAAGATCTGATATCATCATAAAAATACTGTAAAATTTGTTCTGCTGAATATTTTGATAATTAGTTTGGTATGTTATTTTCATCATCTTGAGCTTGTAAACATGACTTTTGTTATATAGACCTTGAAAACAATTGAAGTTTGTTGGTACTGCCCTGTATTTGTAGGAGTTAATGATTTAGAATTAAGTGGAAATTATGCTGTTATGTTAATAATGGTTCTCAAAGCTGATATTCACTGTATGCATTGACTAAAAAACACATCATGTGCGAATGAGGTGGGTGATATGTGGACAGCGAATCTCCTCCATAATTAGATTAGTTGTAGCAGCACTTGTGTTGGTTAGAGTTTATTCTCATAGACTACAAAAAGAGATTACAAGAAATGTCGTGACTAAAAGTACAGGAATGGATCCTGCGCATCATTTGGTCCCTGTCTCGTCCATAAAGTGCCCTTGAAAAAAATCTCCCTTATGTATTTCATATACTTTCATAGATAAATATATCAGAAAAGAATGTACTATAGACATGTAATATCAGTTTTTGATAGCTTTGTTAGGCAGAGATCTGACTTGTTCATTTAGAAATCTAATTATTATATTAACTTTTCTCCAAATGCTTAAATTATTATGTATTAATAGAATAAGCTTTGAAAAGTGGTTAGCTGTGCTCCTTCCTTCCTTTTGCACTGAAACCCATCTTGAAACTACAAAGAGAGGTTGAATCAAGCTTGGTAAAATCATGAAAAATTGTTCATGAGAAAGAGGAATTTTCTATCTATCTATCTATCTATCTATCATCTATCTATCTATCTATCTATCTATCTATCTATCTATCTATTATCTATCTATCATCTATCTATCTCTATCATCTCTCTATTTCTGCATGCCCTCTGTATTTTGGAGGTGGGAGCTGGTGGAGAGAGAAGGATAAAGAAGGATAAAGATTTCTCAAATAACCTTTGGAAGGTGGAGAAGTAAATAATCTGGGGACATGCTGCAGAATTTAAAATAATCTTGTGGTAATAATTGGTATCAGTGGCAGTAATGAAGAAAAATAACAGTTTAAATAAATAATTAGACTTCACAGTAGATGTGTCAACAGGCACCCACTTAATGAGTATAATCATTGTTTTTCTCTGCTCTTAACGTTGATCCACTGACTGTGGTGTGTTCTCTGTCCCATTTCCAAACCAAGTCTATTTAAAGCTGCACTTCATGGAATCTGAAACGGTATACCCTGTTTACTATTTAGAGCTGATACCCAATGTTCTTTAATAGGCAAGCTCTGTACTTGAACAGGAACAGGCTTCTGGCCTTCTGTAGACTGTTGATTATTCCTGTTTTCAACAGTGTGATTCATTAGCAGGGATGAATAATACCCAATTAATTCTCATGAACTTGTCTTTATTGCTAGAGTGACTTGTTTATTACAAGTTGATGGAATAACCCTAGACTGCCTTAAATCAGACTGCCAATTAATCAGTTATTGTTTTCTGAGGTGGAGGTAGAGGTAGTAGTTTTAAATTAAAGTAGTATTATTATTATTTTAGCTACCTGGATAGGCTATCATTGTTTGGCGGAGTGAAACAGTATATTTTATGTTAGGATATGTCAACCAGAAGTCATGAGAATCTAATTCTAATCTCATCTCAGGCTGTGCCACCTTGAGCAAGTCACTTTCTGTCTCCAAGTTTCACTTCAGCATCTCATAACAGATGGAGTCAGACCAGTCGATCATGGCATTGATCAACTACTTCTAGTTAAATGCGTTCTTATCTGTGATTTTCTTTCATACCCCGTCCTTTCTCTCTCTTGCTGCCACTTGTCCAAGGTCATAGGAAAATCCTGGGACTCTACTAGAGAGCTGGTATGAAAACAGTTATTCTTATATTTAGCTTTTGATTCTTTTATATACTAGAAGAGCAATTAGGGATTTGAATTATACACTATGATTGGGCATTTATGCTATGGCTGTTCACTACCTCCAGTGACATCTAGTTTCTGGTTAGAAAGGTAAAAAAATCTTTCTCCATGTTTCTCAACTCCATGATCTTGTCTTATTGTTAGAGAATCCAGTGAACTTATCCACTGGTAGCATTAATTTGTTCTTTGTTCTGTTGTTTGACTTTTCTAGGTTGAATCATTGAACTGTAAGAAGAGGTGAGAACATCAGAGCCAGGGGGGACTTCAGGAATCAATCTAGCCCAATTCTGTCATTTCAGAGATACAGATATTGGGGTGGGGGGCGGAATCCAATTTGTCTAAGGTGTTAGTAGCAAATCCTAACTAGAATTATTTCTTCTGACTTTATAATTATATGTCTATTTTAGAAGGGAATCCTTTCTATAAACTGTTCTTTCACAATCCAATAAATAAAGGGCCATTGTCTTTTAGGCAAAAGCAGTGTCAAGGCAGGATGTGAGATGCCCTTAAAACATAAATGGATTCTAGGCAACTTCATTAATCCCTTGGGGACAGTGAAACAGAGGGTTCTGGCTGGCTTCTGCTCTCTGTGTTTACTAGGAGAATATGAATTCCTCTGCAGTCTTTTCTGTAAGAGATCATTTGACCCTGACATCACCACTGTTTCCTCCATCCATCTTCTGGTCTTCTGCCCTTTTCTAATCCAATGAATGATAGGAAGCTGAGGATGAGCTCCTAGCTGGCTGTGTGCATAGTTGGGAACATCAATAAAGGGAAGACAGTTGAAGGACTGATAAGCAAGAGGACAGGAAAATAAGAGCCAATCCAGTGAAATCTAGTTCAAGGTCTGCAATTCCGAGTTGCTAGCAGCATCTCTCATTCTTTTGGACTTTTTTGCCTTGTTCTTGTAGGGCTGGGCAGGGACAGAGAAGCAGCTGGAATGATCTTTGCCAAAACCAAACTCATGTTTTCATGACATTTCCAAGTCCAGACAAGAGAGTTGTAATTATCCATTAGTTAGAAGATAACTTAGGAACTGTACTTAAACAATGATTAAAAAAAGTTTATAGCATCATTAAAAAAGAAGGGGTGAACCCGCCCAAAAGAGAAGATAACTTAGGGGCCACTGGATGTAAACACTAATCAGTCTTCCTAATACTGAGATACAGAGCCTGGAAATCATTTTACTGAGTCTGAGGTTCAAATTCTGCCTCTAATTAATTTGCTATGATTTTGGTGAAGGGATGATCTTCCTTTGAACCTCAGTTTCTCCAGGTATGAGATAGGAGAAAGAGGAGTGTGGAATGGTGGAGAGTAAAGGTCTCCCACCCCTTATTTTCACAAGTCTCTGATTTGCCCAAGGTCATGTAGCAAGTTTGCAACTGAGCTTGGTCTTGAATTCAGACCCCCTTACTCTGGTTTGGACGTTACTATTGTAATAACTTCCACTGCTCATATTTTCTAAACTGTGTGCTTGCATCTCTCAGCCTTGTTTTATTAAATAAACTTTTTCTCTCTCAGTTGACAGGTCCCTTTCTGTCAGGGGACTTACCTAATACTGTTGTTCTTAATTTGCATGTAAGTGTGCACACATGTGTGAATGTGTGTGCTTGGGAGTAGAGGAGAGGATTATGGAATATTTGGAGACTCAGATATAAATCTATGAAATAGTTAGAAAATGCACATGTACATAGGATATTGGTTAAAATTTCAGTTTTGTAGACCGTTTGAAGGCCAGACATAGTTTCTAAGTTAAGCCAAAAGTAATTTTAATATGGGAACTTGGAGGTGACATTTGGGGAGCATACATCTGTTGCTGTGGGATTTTTCCCACAGTTCACCTATTTTTCTGCTCTCGGCATCCACCTTACTTATGAGCATGACTCTGGATTTTTACTTGTTTCAAACTCTTGAATGATATTTTCACATTGAAACTCTTATTCTGCTTGCTTGCTTGCTTGCTTTGTTCATTCATTCATCTCAAATTACTTTTAGATGTTAGCCATTTTAATATATTTTTCATTTATTCTCATGAAATAAAAATTGTTTTTCCCATTTTTCATATGTAGTAATTGAGATCAGAGAGGTTGAGTAATAAATAGCACAGCCTGGATTTAAATCTAGATCTGCCCCAAGATATCTGAGTACCTGCAGAGTATCTTCATATTGAATATGAAGAGGGACAATGAAACAATTCTATAAGCCTTAGGAATCAATTATATGAT